CCTTCCAGTGGTATAGCATAATGTACAAATCGTACAGCTTTAGTATCAGGATGAGGTGAATAATGAACTGATACTACACAAGTAGGAGGAAAAGGATAACCTGGTTTTCCAAAATTATCAGCATCTTCTTTAAATATCTATAATAATGACAGACATCATTATACATAATACATGTATTTACTCTACAAGGTATCATGTGAGGTGCAATAGTCCATCCAGTGTTTAGCCTTTCTTGTGGAGTATCAAATTTTAATTCAATATAATCACCTTCAAAACTAAAGTGGAAACTCTGACTGTGATCTATTTCAGCTTGAGGGTGATTGCTTTCAATATACTATATAAATAACAATTAATACACATGTATTCAATACATTTACTTCAATGAGTGCATTTAGCTTTTTAGCTGCAGCAAAATTCATATAATTTTCATCACCTTCCTCCACATAAAAAACTACTCCAGCATATGACATACAGTTCATGGAGACAAACTCTAAAAATTGACAATAATAAATTCTCGGAAGTGGATATTGGTCTGGCAGCCGGACGCCTATACTTCAGAGCTATAGATCCGGCAGTCCGTTGTTCTCCGTAAAACAGCTTGTGCGCATGCGCAATAGTGCAAAATGGAACTTGGTCTTTTTATAATCCCAAAACCCTACAATCCCCGAGGCTAAGATGTACGAGAGGGTGTTCTAAAAACTAAACACTAAACCCCAATCCCAACCCTACGACCCCGGAGGCTAAGATGTACGAGAGGGTGCTTATTTCTTTAAAAAAAAAAGGCAAAAAAGTGATTTAAAAAAAAGAAAAAAAAATCAAACATTGCCGCATAGTTTTAGTCAATATTCCCGACAGGATTCGAAACGCTGACCCCATCCGTGCAATCCACACCAGCCTCTCCACTACACCACCGCAATCCTGCTGCATCAACGTTGCTGATTGTCGTATTTATACTTGATATCTGTATATAAAATCGTGTATTAGTATACTGGGGCTTCGTCCCAGTATACTATATACGGACTGCCGGATCTACAGCTCTGATTCTGAAATAGGCGTCTGGCTGCCGGACCAATATCCACTCCT